TATTAAGGAAACTTTTTTGAAATTGAGGGTTTGGTTGGATTTTAACTCTTTTTTTAAAAGTTCTGTTTTAAATTTCAGAGCCACGTGATCACAAGGTTTTTAGATTTCAAGGTTGAACATATCGTTAAATTCTTATACCCTCAATTTTTGGAGCTAAAAGTATTTTTCCAAATTTTTATGTGTCTATTCCTAGATGCTCTATCGATAGATAGATAATCTCTAGATACCCAAATCTCTTAGTTTTCAAGTCACTATATTCAAACAAATATATCCCCAAATTCTTACTCTTATATCCCTACATCTGGAAATGTCTATGTTCCTAAATTTTTACATCCTCAAATTTCTAAATCTTCAAATTTCAAATTCCCCAAAATCCAAAACTCCTAAGTTACAAAATTCTCAAATTTCAAATTCCCCAAATTCCAAAATTTCTAAGTTCCAAAATTCTTAAATTCCCAAGCTCTCAAATCCTCAAGTTCTCAAAGTCTCAAATTCTCAAATTTTCAACTTCTCAAATCCCAAAATTCTCAAATTCCTAACTTCTCAAATTTCCAAGCTCTCAAATTTCCAATTTCTCAAATTTCCAAGCTCTCAAATTTCCAACTTCCCAAATTCCCAACTTCTCAAGTCCTCAAATTCTTAAAGTCCCAAATTCTCAAATTTCCAACTTCTCAAATTTCCAAGCTCTCAAATTTCCATCTTCTCAAATTTCCAAGCTTTCAAATTTCCAAGCTCTCAAATTTTCAACTTCTCAAATCCCCAACTTCTCAAGTCCTCAAATTCTCAAAGTCCCAAATTCTCAAATTTTCAACTTCTCAAATCCCCAAATTCTCAAATTTTCAACTTCTCAAATTCCTAACTTTTCAAATTCCCAATTTCTCAAATCCCCGAATTTTCAAATTTCCAAATTCTCAGATTTCCAGCTTCCCAAATTTCAAATTCCCTAAATTCCAAAATTCCTAAGTTACAAAATTCTCAAATTCCAAAATTCCCCAAATTTCCAAAGTTCCAAAATTTGTCGAAGTCCCTAAATCTCTAAATTCCTGAATTCCATTATCCTCAAATACCTATATCCCAAGTTTCTAGCTCTCCAAATCTCTAAATCCACAAATTCCTATATTCCTACATTTCTAACACCCCAAATTCTCAAACTCCAACTCCCTAGTCTCCCTAGGCTCCCTAGTCTCCCTAGTCTCCCTAGAACCCTAGATCTCTAAATACCAAAGTCCAATAAATTCCAAAACTCTTCAAAGTTCCCAACTTCCTACCCCAAATTCTCACCCAATTCCAAATTCTGAAATCTTCAAAAATTTCTAAATATCCCAAAAATCTCAAGTGGATATCCCCTGCATTTAGATGTTATACAAATATGTATTCAAAGATTCTAGAAAAGAATGTAGAAAAGGATTTGATTGAGTATACTGTTTACACGAAAAGCGTAAGTGACAAAAAATTCGTAGGAGATATTATATCGAATGCAGGTCGTAAGTGTTACGTTTAAGCCACGATGTTTCCGTCAGCGTTACCACGTTTAGTGCCAAACAGCTGCCGCACACGAAATCCAGAACGGTCCGTTAATAATATCTTCGTTCTGCCTCGACGCGTTTCAAGATACTCCTACGATCGTGCTTCTACATTCCGATTGTACTCTTTCTTCTCTCGTGTATTCACTAGACTAATTCATCACTATTAACGCTTACACAGTGCTGTTCATGTCAGCGCTTGTTCGCTGAAAACCACTTCATAATTCTTTCATAATTAACTCGGCTATCATTTGAGCAATTTGCTTTTTGCAAATTTGATTTAGCTTCTGTTAGATTACTAACGAGACTGAGGGATTGAGACAATGTTTTATTAATTAAAAGATAACTTGAAATACAGGGTGTTTTAGTAGAGTGTTTGATATTTACTTTCATTGTGTCGAACATGATCTTCATCTTCAAACATAAAGATAATAATATTTGGTGATATTTATATGAACATCTGTAGAAAGAGGCATAGTTTATTTTCAAGAAATACACCTTGTATTTTGTATCGATTAATAAATTTCATAGGCAAAGAGAGAGTTTCCCCATGAATGAAAGTCGAAGGCAGCCATCTTGCTGCTATAAATATGGAAAATACGAACTTGTCTAGTTGCTCTGTTCTTATATGCAGAAGACTAAAATGCATGGAATGTTTTCATCCCCTGTATCTAGGTTATCTTCATTGTTTCGTCCACTTCGGAATAGTGTAACGTACATTGAGTTTATTTTAACGCTTCTTCTCAAAATAGATAGTATGTATAAAGAAACGAAGTCCGAGAGGAACTTTATAAGATCCTTGAATTTCTGTGATCGCTGTTGAAATTGAACCTAATACAACAATTTTACTTGTAAATTAATTTGTTAGTTGAAACGTATCAATTTCAGGTAGAGCTAATCTTCAAGGTTTGTTTGTTGAAATTGTAATTTGGGGATTTGTGGATGTGGGGGTGTAGGGATCTGGAGATAGGGATATAGGGATGAAGAGATGTGGAGGTGGGAATATAGGGATATAGAGATGTGGAGATGGGGATATAGGGATCTGGAGATAGGGATATAGGGACGAAGAGATGTGGAGGTGGGAATATAGGGATATAGAGATGTGGATATGGGAATATAGGGATTTAGATATGTGGAGATGGGAATATAGGGATTTAGAGATGTGAAGATGGGGATATAGGGATTTAGAGATGTGAAGATGGGGGTATAGGGATTTAGAGATAGGGATATAGGGATATAGAGATGTAGAGGTGGGAATATAGGGATTTAGAGATGTGGAGATGGGAATATAGGAATTTAGAGATATGGAGATGGCGATATGGGGATCTGGAGATAGAGATATAGGGATGAAGAGATGTGGAGGTGGGAATATAGGGATATAGAGATGTGGAGATGGGAATATAGGGATATAGAGATGTGGAGATGGGAATATAGGGATATAGAGATGTGGAGATGGGAATATAGGGATATAGAGATGTGGAGATGGGAATATAGGGATATAGAGATGTGGAGATGGGAATATAGGGATATAGAGATGTGGAGATGGGAATATAGGGATATAGAGATGTGGAGATGGGAATATAGGGATATAGAGATGTGGAGATGGGAATATAGGGATATAGAGATGTGGAGATGGGAATATAGGGATATAGAGATGTGGAGATGGGAATATAGGGATATAGAGATGTGGAGATGGGAATATAGGGATATAGAGATGTGGAGATGGGAATATAGGGATATAGAGATGTGGAGATGGGAATATAGGGATATAGAGATGTGGAGATGGGAATATAGGGATATAGAGATGTGGAGATGGGAATATAGGGATATAGAGATGTGGAGATGGGAATATAGGGATATAGAGATGTGGAGATGGGAATATAGGGATATAGAGATGTGGAGATGGGAATATAGGGATATAGAGATGTGGAGATGGGAATATAGGGATATAGAGATGTGGAGATGGGAATATAGGGATATAGAGATGTGGAGATGGGAATATAGGGATATAGAGATGTGGAGATGGGAATATAGGGATATAGAGATGTGGAGATGGGAATATAGGGATATAGAGATGTGGAGATGGGAATATAGGGATATAGAGATGTGGAGATGGGAATATAGGGATATAGAGATGTGGAGATGGGAATATAGGGATATAGAGATGTGGAGATGGGAATATAGGGATATAGAGATGTGGAGATGGGAATATAGGGATATAGAGATGTGGAGATGGGAATATAGGGATATAGAGATGTGGAGATGGGAATATAGGGATATAGAGATGTGGAGATGGGAATATAGGGATATAGAGATGTGGAGATGGGAATATAGGGATATAGAGATGTGGAGATGGGAATATAGGGATATAGAGATGTGGAGATGGGAATATAGGGATATAGAGATGTGGAGATGGGAATATAGGGATATAGAGATGTGGAGATGGGAATATAGGGATTTAGAGATGTGAAGATGGGAATATAGGGATTTAGAGATATGGAGATGGGGATATAAGGATGTGGATACATGAAAATGGGGATATAGGGATGTGGAAACATGAAGATGGGGATATAAGAATGTGGAGACATGAAGATGAAGATATAAGAATGTGGAGACATGAAGATGAAGATATAAGAATGTGAAGACATGAAGATGAAGATATAGGGATATACAGATATGAAGATGTGTATATATGAATATAGAGATCTACCATTTTAGAAATCTACACATATAGAAATCTAGGGGTCTAAGAGTGCACAGATATAGGGATCTACGCGTCTAAGAGACTAGGAACATAGGTATCTACCTATTTAGGAAGAAATATCTGATGAGATCTAACGCTATCAAGAAGTCAGTGGTTCAGATATCCACATATCCACACATGAAGGTTCTATATGCTTAGGGATCTACATACCTAAATATCTGAGTCTCTAAAAACGAGTGTAGAAATCTACAAATCCACTGTTCTATGGATTTACAAATCTACGAATCTAGGAACTTCAGACTCTACAAATCCATGAGTGTAGATCTACAAATTTAATAATCTATGTTCTAGATGTTTGGGAGTTTCGAAACCTAGGATCTAGAAACCAATCTAAATATATAAAAACATTGAAATCTACGACTACAGGAAAGTATAGAAACCTATAAAAATAGAAATCCATATACAAACCTAGGAATCTTACCTATTAATTTAAGAATACACACATAGACCAAAAAATACCGAATAAAAAATTTTTCTTCATTCTCAGTCCTGATCTTGTGCGGTTAATCAGGTATCCATTTCGCGAATAAAAAAAATGTTGAATGGATAGCCTACAGAAGGATTAAAATGAAGTCGGTTGGTAGCCAAGAGAGAGAGAGAGTCTCCGAGCGAAGCGCAAGCTCCTCGGCTCCGTTTTCAGTTTCCGATTATTTTTGGCAGCAAGGCAGAAGCGGGCAGAGCTCTCGCCTAAAAATGCTTACGACCAATGGCGGGCGTTGATTGGTCGATTTCTGGCCACGTGAACAGCCTACGAAGAAGAGGCTGACGACGTCGACCACGGATCCACGATGGCACAGTCAGCTGCCTAAGGTCCGGTTGGCCAGTCGTAGCCAGCAAATAGTTCTCTCTCTTCAAGGTAAGCCTTTATCTACGCGCCGACCTACTGGAATCGTGATCCTCTTCGGGATCTGTCACCGGCAACGGACAAGGCCCCTCCAGTTCGAGCCTGCCTCTTCTGGCCTGGAGTATTCGCTCTTTTCGTCGTATCGAAGTGTCAAGTGCTTCACACAGATAGTAACGCTGCTTCAAGGTCACGTGTGTTAGTACATCCAGGAATTGTGACCTTCCAGAAGACGACTGGAACGCGTCCCAGTGCGATTCCGTGTGTGACAGATACGAAGTGACCACTCGTGATCTTCTCGAATCTCCTCGACTATTTCGTTATTTTTTTTTGTTATCGTATTTTCGACGTATTTCACGCTGTGCTTTTAAACCGTTCGTTGGGAAATTCGCATCTTTTCGCGGCAAAGAAAGCTGGCAGTGATCGTCGCGGTTGGATCGCGACGCGAATACACGCGGTTCTACGTAAACAGCCTTGTACCAGTATTCATTCTCGATCTCCCTCGACAAATATAACTTCGCAGACACGAGAGTTACGAGTCTGTTGATATTGTATCGGGTTACGAGTCTCTTGATTTCCATACGTAACGTCAAGGACGAGAAAACGCGAGGGAAAACGTTGGACAGGAAACGGAGGATAGATCGGGTCGGGATTTATTCGATTTTTTTTCGATCGACGGTGGATCGCGAGAGCTATCGTAGATCATCCGTGGTAGACTCTGCATGTTTTCTATTTTTACGGTGCCGGGATCCTCTTTGACATCGGAGACGAGACACACATCGGAGTCGCGGTGGGACGTGTCTTGGAATGGTTCGAGCGAGAGGGAATCTATACTTAGCGAAGGCGATCGGTCCATTACAAATATAAAGCGGTTGCCAGTGATCATATGAAATTTCTGTCTAACGATGATCTTCCAATTTTAGTAATGGACAGATATAGGGACATGGGCGCGTTGTAATGTGGGATATAGTGGTTTAGATGTTTAGGTATAGAGGAATGTTGGGAATATGGAGAATATGGGGATGAAGAGATTATAGGGATGGGAATATTGCAAATATGGGGACGGAGGTGTATAGGGACGGAGGAGTGTAGGGACGTATGAGTGTAGGGACGTATGAGTGTAGGAATATATGAGTATAGGCACATAGGAATGTAGAGACATATTATGAGTGTAGGGACATAGGAGTATAGGCACATAGGAATGTGGAAACATATGAGTGTAGGGACATATGAGTGTAGGGACATAGGAGTATAGGCACATAGGAATGTGGAGACATACGAGTGTAGGGACATAGGAATGTGGAGACATATGAATGTAGGGACATAGGAGTATAGGCACATAGGAATGTGGAGACATATGAGTGTAGGGACATATGAATGTAGGGACATAAGAGTATAGGCACAGAGGAATGTGGAGACACATGAGTGTAGGGACATATGAATGTAGGGACATAGGAGTATAACCACATAGGAATGTAGAAGCATATGAGTGTAGGGACATAGGAGTATAGACACGTAGCAATGTAGAGTCATATGAGTATAGGCATATACGAATGCAAAGACATATGAATGCAGGGACACATGAGTATAGGTACATAGGAGTCGAGAGACATATGAGTATAAGGACATATGAGTATAGGTATATAGGAGTCGAGAGACATGTGAGTATAGGGACATATGAGAGTACGTTCATAGAAGTATAGGCACATATGAATGTAAAGTCATAGGGATGTAGGGTCATAGAAATGTAGAGACATAGGAATACGAGAACATAAGGTCATATGAGCCTCGAAACATATGTGTGTAGCGACATAGAAATGTAGGTACTCAGGAATGAAAAAGTATATAGAGTCATGAGTATTCAGAAATACAAAGATTCAAGAATTTAGAGATTTGGGAACATAGTATCATAATATAATAGCGTTGAGTGTAGAGTTATAGGATCTGAGAATATGTAGATAAGGGGTTTAGAAATGTAGCATAGTAATATAAGAATGTAGCGATATAAAAATACAGGGACGTGAGTCATCAAATTATTTGTGCATGTAATTTGACAGAAATATATAAGACAAATAAACAACATTTCAACACTGTCCATTTACGAACATACAGTTCATACCTCAGATCAATAAAACTACTAAAAATATATGTACGAATATATAGATATATTATCAATTCTTGTGATGTAGATTTTTGTGGATATCGAAATCTGGGATTATAAAGCTAGATACAAGGTTTTGGGAATATAAGAATTTTGAGGAATAGGATACTACAAATCTGAAATAGAAATCAAGCGATCCATAGACCTAGAAATATAAGAATACAAGAGTTCTGGAGGTGCAGAGATCTAACTATAGAAATTTGAAGATACCGAGATTTAGGACTCTAGTGATGAATCCCGTGATTTACAAATCCAGAAATCCATGAATCTGATTTAGAAATCCAGCCATCTAGGAACCTGACTTCACGCATATCTCCCAATCTAATTATTGTAGATAACATAAATTACAAATAAAATTAGTTGATCAACTCAGTACGTCTAGAAAGTCAAAATCTTAATTACGGTATAACAAGTTTGAGAACAATGTATTTAACCTCTTGAAGTGTCACCAGAATTCCCGCTAGCAGCCACTAGACTTTTAAGTACGAACAATTATAACTCTGTTTCGAGTAATTCTGAGATGTTAGAGATGTTACACAAACAGGTTACACAATTCATGCATGCAATAAATTTGGAATCTATTTTGAAACGTCGCTTGTGACTCATTGCCGTCGTTTCAACGTCAGTACGTAAGATGTTCGCCAAGAAAATGAATTACTTCGAACCTTCAGACCTTATACCCGTACTCGTTCATCATCCGCTAGATCTTTAATGTTTCATCAGTTTCATTCTGCCATTTACTCTCTTCACTTTCCCTGTCTGTAGCTCTTCAATTTTCCTTTTATAAATGTGTCTTGTCTGCTACGTGCTTTAAAAGGGCATCCATAATGTTTTTTAGTAATAACGTCAGACACGAAAGTTACTGTCGATTTTTAGGTACTTCAAATTTAGGAATATGGGATTTTTTTTTAGAAATATGGAAAGTCTTTCAGATGTTGGGATTTGAGGAGTTGGAAATTTGAGAATTTTGGAATTGTGGATTTGGGAAATTGGGTTTGGGGATTTTGAAATTTGGGGTTTAGGGATTTTGGGGTGCAGAGATTTTAAAATACAGGGATTTGGGGACATGTGTATTAGGAAATTAGGAGATTTTGGGATATAGGGATTTTGGGACATAGGAATTTTGGGATATAGGGATTAAGGAACATGTGTAGTGGGAAATTAGGATATTTGGGAATTTAGGGAATCTGGGATGTAGGGATTCCAAGATAAAGGGATTTGGGTGCATAGAAGTTTGGGACTATATAGATTTTGGACTCTAGGGATTCTGGAATATAGAGATTCTAAGATATAGGGATTTGGGTGCACAGAAATTTAGGACTACATAAATTTTAGAATATAGGGATTCTGGGATGCAGGAATTCGAGGATATAGAGATTTGAGGACATAGAAATTTGAAAATATAAAGATTGGAGGATATAGGGATATGAGGACATATGAGTTTGGCCATATAGAGTTTTGGGGATATATCGATTCCCAGATACATGGTTTTAGGGACGTAAGAATTTGGAAATGTAGGATTTGGAAGTGTAAGATTTGAAGATGTAGATATTTAAAGATATATAGATATGTAGATAATTAGATATGTAGCTATTTAGAAATATTTACAGCTGCAGAGATATAAGAAAACTTGGTGAAATAACTAGTTTGGTGAAATAATATGTCACGGACCAATATATATATTTTGTCAAACTCCAAGGAGGGTTAAAGAAGCACAACTTTCTACATAAAAATGTAATTTCATCAATTACAATAATATACTTTGGAACCAATATTCATCAAAATGTATTAACATCTCCAAAACAGTCTCCTGAATTAATCAGTCGTTTCACCGGCAACATAGAGTACACAGAGCGATCGTCCAGTATCGATAGCAATTTTCCAACAGAACGACTTTGCTTCCAGTCGAATCTCGTTTTCCGCTTTCGACACATCGGATCGAGTCGAGAGGAGACGAGAGATCTACCGTTTGGGTCGTTGCATCCAAATTTGGATCGTCGACGTAGCGACGTCTCCGGCTCGACGGTTCGAAAAGTGGGGACGCACGGCGTCTATTTTCGAGCACCGGATATTCTATACCGCTGCGGTGCGTCGGTGAGGCGAAAATTTACGTGCAGAACAGTGGATTTATCGCGCAGAACCAACCACTGTCATTGACCGGCGTAAAAGGAAGGAAAAAATGAAACGATTTATCCGATGACGCAATATGGACGATCCATCTTCGCGGTTTTATATTTAAACCTTTCTCCACCGTGCGATGTTTTGTTGTTTAAATGACGATATTCGCTTCGATGACATAAGCAGGGTTATTGTTGTTTTGTCGGATACGTGAAATGTGCCTTTTTATGCTTTATTTTTAGGTAGACGGGTGTAGCAGCCAGGTACCAAGATGGCGGACGATGAGGTTAGGTGGGTAACGCAATTCTTTCACTTTCTCAGACTTTTAAATTCGCATAAAATTATTGTGTTGATTATTTAAATATTCAAGGACAATTAGTATGCTAATTTAAAGCTTTAAATACTGTCATTATACAAAATATTGCTTTAAACACTGTTATTATATAAAATACCGCTTTAAATACTGTTTTATATAAAATTCAATGATTTACTTCAAATTAGTGTACATGTTGAAAATTCAAGGTTCAAATACAATTTATTTATTAAATATTCAAAGATTCAAATTTAATTTTTACGTTAAATATTCAAAGGTACAAATACAATTTTTATATTAAATATTCGAACGTACAAATACAATTTTTAAATTAAACATTCAAAGATTCAAACACAATTTATATATTAAATTTTGATAACTTCAAATACAATTTATTAAAAATTAGAAGTATAAGTACAATTAATATACACATTAAAATTTGTAAGCTTCACATAAAATTAATACAATAAAATATGAAAAAACAAATATAAAGAAATAGAACATGAATTTAAAACTTGAGAAAATTAAATTGATACTGTACATCTTGTAATACATTCATCATTTATTGTTTTTAAAAAAAATGTATTATAACTTCTTTAAAGAAAATTTTCCTTAATTTTAATTTTCCTCGATGTTTTAATTGAACAGAATTAAAAGAACATTTTTTTTAAAGAACATTTTGTTTGATTACAAATATATGGTGCACAAAGGTAAATGAACAATGTCCAACAAAAGATGTTAATATCTTTTATTTCTTCTTTTCATGTTCCATCGAATACTCGACATATTTGAATTTTGATTTCACTCGAAAATGGCAAACAATGGACCTCCCTTGGGCCGAGCAGTGAAATTAAAATCTTTGAAAGGTATGCATCGTTTGTGCTCTTTGTGCTTGTGAAATACCCCTTGAAGATAGAGATCCCTACAGAAGTCGTTCAAACGAGCAAAAATATAATTAATCCTATAAACGAATACCGTACGTCCGCATACATTTTAAGGACGGGTTTTTTCACTTTTTTGATTTTTGCATTCGGATTAATTATTTTTTGCGCAGACTTAATAGTCACGTAGATACTTTTTTGAATAAAGGGCTCCATACCGACTGAGCTTTTTTACCTTTTTTAGTAGTACAGTGGTTAACAACCACACATTTTAACATTTTTATGTACTATATTTTATTACAATTATGATAACGAGGAGAACAAAATGTCCTCGTAGTTTTTCCTTTAACAAACTGTACAGAACGTCCATCATTTTTCCGTTTCCACGAAACATCGATACACAGCGACTAAAAATTAAATCCACCTCCTTTGTTTCGCGTTGACTTTGTCGGCCAATTGAAAAAGGAAGAAGAATTTTTGCCGAAAAATTTTTGAAGTCGATAATATATTTCACTTTTACGATAACAGGCGTATATTTCTGAAAGTATAACGTAACATCTCGTCCACCCCGGGAAGTAAGAGATAGATCCGGAAGTATTACGACCGACAACGTCGGTTGCCTCCATGGGGTTGGACTTTTCGTCTGATTTATCGCCATACTCTCTTCTTGCTTCAACATTATTTACCACCGCGGGTTATGTTCCTACGTCTTCTCCTCTACTTTCATCCCACGAATCTCGTAACTTTCCAGGATTGTAAAAACATTTCATCGATATATCTGACTTGCATTTTTCAGCTTTTTCCCTTATTCCTCGTTCGCGAATTGACACACGAGTTATTGCGGCTGATCAGAATATTGAGTTGAAAAGAGCTATATAGTAATACAGAAGTATCAATTTAAAGATGTGTTCAGTGATTTTTTCAATTTTGGGAAAAGATAAAATGTTATTGTTTCATGTGGTATATTTACAATATTATGGGAGGGCGGTTAATATTATTTTTGTTAATTTTGCATTTGAGATGACGAGTAAAATGTTGAATATTCAAGAATGATATTTTAAAAATAGTTGATCTGAATTTTGGTGTAAAAAGACTCATGTGCAATGTCGCGATGTGTGGACCTAAATCCCTAGATCTTTGTATTCTAAGGAATTTGGAAATCCTAGATTCTTAGATTTCTAGATTCATAAATTTATAAATCCCCAAATTCCTAAATTCCCAAATTACTGAATTCCTAAATCCCCAAGTTTCTAAATTTCCGAATTCCTAAATCTTCAAATACCTATATTTGCAAATTTCTATATTCCCAAATTTCTATTCCCCCAAATTCTTATATTCCTAGTTTCCAACATCGCCAAATCCCAATACTCCCAGAATCTCAAATTCCTGGATTCCTACGTCCTTAAGTCTCTACCTCCCCCAACTCAAGTTCTCCCAAATTCTTATATTCCTAATTTCCAACATCCCCAAATCCCTATCTTCCCGATCCAAATTCTCCCAAATCCCAATATTCCCAGAATCTCAAATTCCTGGATTCCTACGTCCCTAAATCCCTACCTCCCCCAACTGAAGTTCTCCCAAATCCCCATATTCCTAGATCTCTACATCCCCAAATCACTATCTCTCCATCCCAACTTCTCCCAAATCGCTACATTCCCAAAATCTCATATTCCCAAATCCCCACATCCCAAAATCTCATATTCCCAAATCCCCACATCCCCAAATCCCCACATCCCTAAATCCTTACATCCCCAAATCCCTACATCCCCAAATCCCTACATCCCCAAATCCCCTTATCTCCAAATCCCCACACCTCCAAATACCCACATATGTCCTCATATCCCCATATATGTCCTCATATCCCCACATATGTCCTCATATCTCCACATTCTTAGATAAATTCTACCGTCCCAAAGTAGACTTGTCTGACCACCTCCATTTGATTTCACTAACAATCAAGAACACTCGACACACTGAAACTGTATAGCAGTAGAATAAAACTCCAAGCACGAGCACACCTAGTAGTACATCTGGGTAACGTAGACATTCTATAGTCGCATTTAAAGACAACATATTTCTGTGTCCTGCGACACTGATGCCCTAGCGTGTCCGCTGCATGCTACTCATGCTTGTTTCTCAGTTTTCCTGATTAACCTTATTATTGATTAAAATAGTTGTATACAAGATACACGAATTGGGATTTTACATTTATTGTGTATTTTTGCTGCCACGTTGCACACATGTGGATCACATATGAGTGTGGTTCTCGTATGTGATACATGTAAATTTACTTTGGTAAATGTAAAATGGTAAAGGTTATGCATATTAAGCAATGGTTAGTGGTTATACACTCAGTTAGAGATAATAATACTGTATTTTTGTTGGAAATAAATTATATAGGTTTTATGAATTCAACGTGGTGGTAAAAGTGCTACATTGTTGCAGAACACTCACATATCGCTGCACACACGCTTTGCGCTTATTTAAAAAACGGAACACGAAACGAATATAAAAAATTTCTTAAAGTCTATAGACAAAAGATTTGATTTAATAATGTAACACTGAACAAAACTATACGTAGACAGCAAAATATTTTTACAACGTATTCAACCCTTAAACGATAGTTTGCATCCATCCAGACCTAACTGAATTCTTATAAATGAAGACCAAAATAAATTCTTATAAGCAAAGACAAAAATGAACTCTTACATGAAAAGACAATTTCTAAACTCGAAAAACTATCTAAAAGATGTATAGTATTTCGAAGGTGAAATATTTAAGATTTTAAACTTCTCGCACGTGAAATAAAGAAAGACCGTCGTCTGATGGTTGAGTACACGATAAACCTTTTTACACATCAACTTCAAACGTTTCGTTTTCCGTTCACCGCAGAATCATCGAGGAACATTTTCTCACGACCACTGTGTTTCTTTTCCATTGCAGAGGAAACGTCTCGAGGATGTACGTAAGATGAGGGCGAAAAAAAACGAGCGAAAGTTAAAGTCGAGAGGAGGATGGGTCACCCGAACGAAACTTTTTCAATAAGTTGTCGAGTCTCGTTAATCGAATGGCTTTTGTAACAGTTTTCATATTAGGGGCTGGTTATGTACCGCGTTGAAACTTTCCAGATTATTTTTGCTTTACTTCTTTTTCCGCGAGATTCGCTAACGAGTAAACGGTTTACCATTTTTCTTTTCTCTTATTTTTCATCCGAAAGGGAACGAACGTACAAAGTTTCTGCGCGGGTGGGGGGAATTTCTCCGGGGGATTTCCTTTCGTAGCATTGTCAGATAAGACATTTTAAGGGAGTTTCACACGGAAAATGTAGGAAAAGAAGAGGAAACAGGCGGAGACCGATAGGAAGAGGGCGGAGGTCCGCGCCCGCCTTGAAGAGGCTTCCAAAGCCAAGAAGGCGAAGAAGGGTTTCATGACCCCTGACAGGAAGAAGAAGCTTAGGGTAAGTTTACATTCCATTGTTTGCTAATTTCTCCGTGCGTTAATACGATTTTAATTAGTATTTCTGTTCAAGAAATATCTTGAATCACCTTTAAATTATTTATGGAAAAATTTATTGGAAGTTACACTTTATTTATGGAAAGGTTCTTCGAAGAGAACTTATACAGATTATTAAATATTTTCTATACTATTTAATCACTTTGCATAGTCTTGTTACGTAGAGAAGTTAAATAACAATTTCAGTAATAATGAAGAACACTTGCTACAAGGAATTGTCATTTGCATTATAGTTTTGAGAAAAATTTTTTTTCAATAAAGTAGTTATGTTTGAAGTCTAAAATTCAATATGGAGGATCAAACGTTCTAAAACTTTTGAACATTTCGAACCTCAAAATTTTCTGCACCTTCTGTACCTTGATGGTGCAACCTGAAATATCAAAATAAAAGTATGATTCAAAGTAAAATATTTAGTACTCTCAAATAAAAAATGATGTGCCAGAATTATCGAATATTTCTAACCTCAAAATTTTCTGTACCAACCTTCTGTACCTTGATGGTGCAACTTGAAATATGAAAATAAAAGTATGATTCAAAGTAAAATATTTAATACTCTTCAATAAAGAATGAAGTGCCAGAATTATCGAATATTTCTAACCTCAAAATTTTCTGTACCAACCTTCTGTACCTTGATGGTGCAACTTGAAATATCAGAACAAAAGTATGTTCCAAAGTAAAATATTTAGTACTCTCAAATAAAAAATGAAGTGCCAGAATTATGGAAAATTTCTAACCTCAAAATTTTCTGCACCTTCTGTACCTTGAAATATCAAAATAAAATATCTTCCAAATTAAAACATTTAATATTCTCCAAAAAATAAAGTGCCAGAATTATCAAACATTTCTAACCTCAAAATTTAAAAAAATAACCTCTATGAAATAAAACAAAATTTGTATCTAAACTCGGTTTGAACTTCTGTCGCTCAAAACCTTCTCCAAACTTGAATTTTATAACAAGGATTTGTATTTTCCCCATAGCTGTTGCTGCGTAAGAAAGCCGCCGAGGAGTTAAAGAAAGAGCAGGAGAGAAAAGCCGCCGAGAGGAGACGCATCATCGAAGAGCGTTGCGGAAAACCGAAGAACACCGACGACGCGAGCGAAGGTAAATTCAGACTTTCCACAAATCTCTGTCTTAACATTTAGCTCGCGTTTAGTCGATTCGCGGATTAGATATTAACCTATCAGGATCGCAGGAACCCTCGGGTTCGAAATGTCGACTTTTTTTATTTTAACAGTGACAAGAAGCTACATGTATCGTCGTCGTACATCAGATTTTCGTCCACTTCTTTGCAGACAGTCCGGTCGTGTTTTCGATCATGGAAATGGATTCTTGATCTTATTTTATCACTTATATAGAATCACACAGGAAACGGGCACAAACTCACATTATCATATCGATACACGTTTTTCATTTCTTCGTACTTTTTCATTTTTGAAAACTGCACAATTTTTAAAAACTTTGTAGGGTTTTTTAAGACTTCTTCAATTTTTGAAAACTTCTTTATATGATTTTTGAAAACTTCTTCACACGATTTCTGAAAACTTTATAATTTTTGAAAATCTCAATTTTTGCACAATTTCATGGTACAATTTTTGCACAATTTCTTCGTACAATTTTTACACGATCCTTCCGTGCAATTTTTGTGAGCTTTCCATAATTTTGATAACGATTTTTCTTTTGTTCAATGGTCGATGTTTTTTGCAAGCAGGGGTACGTACAGCGTAAACATCGTTTGTCGAACATTAAAACGCTTCGTTCGTTGAACAACGATTGCTGCTTCGTGTTTCATTTCAATATCAATTCTGATGATAAATTCTGTCCGATCTTTTTTTTTCACCTTGCTCTACACAGATACCGTGAAGCGCGTGCTACGCGAGTACCACAATAGGATCACAGCATTGGAGGATCAAAAGTTCGACCTCGAATATGTCGTAAAGAAGAAGGACTTCGAGGTACTTTTGAGGAACACGATAGAGCAAAAACACTGTTGCGAGTACATAATTCACGGGACACGCGTGCATAATAACGAGGCGTTCGATACGACACACAGTAACGATGCTCAACAATGTTGTCGCAACTGAGTTATGTTACCGCGACTTGCCCGGTTGCAATTTTCATTCTTACATAAAATACCACCATTTTCTTTTTAATAATATACGAATACATAAAATTGTTGTATCCAACAAATAACATTTACCATTTGTTATAGATTTTTGTATTTTACCGAGTTAGAGGAAGAAGGATGAAAATTTACCTTCTGAAAATTTAAAGAAGTAAATAGTATTTTTATTGTTGAGGAAGATGTACGAGTGATTGATAGAATAGAGTGAACTTTTGTTATATTGCTGCCTTTTATGTGGATTATTCAAGATTCTTGCGCGTTGGATTAATACACGTGAGATTACTATGTGCTAAGTTATTGCACGTTAGATGACTGAACGTTCGATCACTGTGCGTCAGATTACCACTTGTAAGATTACTACATGTTGAGTTTACCAGGTGTAGAATCACTACGCGTTAGATTGACGACGTGTAGAACCACCGTGTGTAGAGTTACTGCGCCATAGATTAATCACGTGGAGAATCAACACATGTAGAATTAGTACGCGTTAGATTAATCACGTGTAGAATCAGAATGCTTTAGATTAATTACGCGTAGAATCACCTAGTGTGAGATCTCAACGCGTTAATATTACTACGGGCTGATATTACCACGTGTTGAAATTACTACGCGTTAGAATCACCACGTGATGAAATTACTACGCGTAGAAATACCACGCGTAGAAATACCACGCGCTGAAATTACTACGCGTAGAATTACCACGCGCTGCGTTGAAATACCACGCGGTTAAATTACTACACGTAGAAATACCACGCGCTAAAATTGCTACGCGTAGAATTACTACGCGTTTAAATTACTACGCGTAGAATTACCACGCGCTGAAATTACTACGCGTAGAAATTTCACGCGCTGTAATTACTACGCGTAGAATTACCACGCGTGGGGTTACCAAGCGGTGAAATTACTACGCGTAGAAATACCACGCGCTGAAATTACTATGCGTAGAATTACCACGCGCTGAAATACCACGCGTAGAAATACCACGCGCTGAAATTACTACGCATAGAATTACCACGCGCTGAAATACCACGCGTAGAATTACCACGCATTGAAATTATTAAGCGTAGAATCACTACGCGCTGAAATTACTACGCGTAGAATTACCACGCGCTGAAATTGCTACGCGTGGAATTACCACGCATTGAAATTACTAAGCGTAGAATCACCACGCGCTGAAATTACTACGTGTAGAATCACCAGGCTCTGAAATTACTACGCGAAGAATTACTACGCATAAAAACACCACACATTAAAATTACCACGCGTAGAATTACTAAGCGTAAGATTACCACGTATAGATTACCTTGCGTATAATTACTACGCATAGAGTCACCACGCATTGTTATTGCCACTCGTTATATATCTTCAACCCCCACGCATATAATAGTAAAGCTACACTCTTTTACTACAAATAAAATTCCACGTAAAAATTGCAATATAACAAGAGTCTACAACACCTCCCTCCATTAATTTCACAAAATATCCACTATGTTTCTTCGCAATCCGGGCAAGCGTCGCGAGCTTCGCATTTCGTCTCGTCGTTTTTTTTTTCTCTTTTTTTCGTCTACTTGTTTATTCAATTTTCTTTCACATACATAACACGGCTATTCTCTCTGTCTCTACAGCTCTCTATCTTTCTGTCTACTTCTCTTTGTTCACTTTTGTCGCATACACTTTTCTGTTTCGCATTTTCACATCGTTTTATTTGTTCTTGTGCGCGCGGTCTGTTTCAACTATTTCAAGTATTTTTACGCTCTTCGCAATGCTAATTCGTCGTTCTGTACTTTTTTTTTTGTTTTATATTGACGATCTGATAATCGTGAAGCGATTCGCGTTGATTAACTGTTGTGTTCTCACACGTTGTCGCAAAAGCGCTATTCTTGTGGTAATGGAGCAATACTGATATTTGGTATACGATAACCGATTGGTTTCGAAACACACGTGCTTCTATTTGAGGTTTTTCTTTGTTTTTCGAACAAGTGTCACAAGTGTATAATCACTTTGCTTTCAATGTTCTCTCATGCCTTTCATTATCTGACGGCGTTCTAATTAGTTTTGTTTAAACGAATTAAAGATTTGTGAACGTTTACATCGCTATTATTAATTTATTCAAATGTGTACTTCCTTTTTATTACCAAGGAAGCACATGATTTCTAGAAATTGCTTAAATGTAATTTCTATGACAATTTCTCACATTTCATAAGAAAATTAATTTTGCATTGATTATGAAGACAATGTTTACGAACTCGAAATAAAGATAATTCAGGACCTATTGATCTGAAGTATAATTATATATACGAAGTTTGCACGAAGATTATATTCTTTGTTCATAATAATCGATAGGAAATATCGCGGAGAGAAAATGTAGAAAATAAATTGGTCGGATAGAATCGTTCGTGTTGCACGAAAAACAGTAGCATATTTTCAAGGTGACTTGGAATTTTGACAGCTAGCGTGAAGTCCATTCTGACCCAGTATCATAAGAGGATCATCGCTCTCGAGGGGGAAAAGTACGACCTAGAGTACGAAGTCGCCAAGAAGGATTTCGAGGTCGACAAATTTTCGATTCCAAAAACGAACAAACTCAAAAATAAAAGAGAACAGAATACAACAGACGCTGCAATTAACATTTTGTTTCCGGAGAAATTCGTCTACTATATTTTATTTTCTTTTGTTGTTGTTTTCTCTACCAAGTTTTTCTTTTGATTCTAAATCTTTTGGGTTTTCTCTTTCTTCATTAGAACGCAAGGAATTGTTGCTAGCGCAGCGCTGTACTATTTTATTTTTCATTTTGTTTATCGACTTCGTACAATTATTTTTCGTTATTTAACGACGTTAGGCTGAATCGAGGCTGATCATCTAATCGCAACTCTAACGTGTAGTTACTCGTAACGACTACTATAATAGTTTTAGATACTCTTCGTAGATAATTCGTAGGAACAATTAAAAAAGAAAAAGCGAAAAGAAATAAAAAATGTACAGGCACCACGTGAGTTCGTAGAATCGCAGCAAAGTAGATGTGAAGTTAATATCGTAACGCTGATTACTTATTTAGATCTTTTCTTAAGCGATTTCAAGTAGCATCATCAACGTTCTTTCATTTGTGCCTAAAAACAAAAATCACTAAGACCTTGTTCCGTAGAAAATATTTCCTTTTAGAGATTCCATTCTCGTGGCAGGTTCACGTTCACGCAGTTATCAGCTTCGTGCTTCTTGCTTCTATACACGAGAATCTCATTCTCTTTTTCCTTCAATCTTTTCTCCTTAACCTTACCAGTTCTGCGATTTTACTGGTCTTTTTTTAATACGTAAGATTTTGATCGTTTGATCTGTGCAGCGGGATCTCGAGTTTTATTTATTATTGGTGAATTACTGACCGTTCGATTGCTGGACGTTAGATTACTATCCACTGGATTATTAGTTGTTGGATAGCGGTGTGTAGAAGTACTACGTGTTGGATTATTAATTGTTAGATTACTAATGATGGAATAACAGTTATCACGCGAAGAATTATTACGTGTTAGATTAACCTTGTATTAGAAAGCTACGCGTAGAATCATCATATGGAAAAATTACTACACGTAGAATTATCACACACACGAATTACCGCGCTTAGAATTACTGCGCATATGAATTACCACGCTTAGAATTACTGCGCATACGAATTACCACGCGTAGAACTACTGCGCATACGAATTACCACGCGTAGAACTACTGCGCATACGAATTACGACGCGTAGAATTACTACGCATACGAGATACCACGCGCAGATTTACTGCGCAGACGAATTACCCACGCGCAAAATTACTGCGCATACGAATTACCACGCGTAGAACTGCTGCGCATACGAATTACTACGTGTAGAATTACTGCGCATACGAATTACCACGCGTAGAATTACTGCGCATACGAGATACCACGCGTAGAACTACTGCGCATACGAATTACCACGCAGATTTACTGCGCAGATGAATTACCCACGCGCAGAATTACTGCGCATACGAATTACCACGCGCAGACTTACTGCGCATACGAATTACCACGCGCAGAGTTACTACGTATACCAGTTACCACGCATACGTATTACCACGCGTAAAATTATCACATTTACGAATTATCACGCATAGAATAACCACATTTAAAACTACTACGCGTATAGATTACCGGGCGTAGAATTACCACGCGCAGAATTACCATATATTTGCTACATGTAGTATCACCGCGTATGTAATAACCACGTGTTGCATCGCTACGTATTACATTACCACGCGTCCTACCACCCGTTATACAATTATTACTTCCAACACCAAAGTCTTTAAAAACGTCCCATTTACATTTAACTTCCTTTCACAATTATTTCACCACAATTCGAAATAGCATAATTGCTTCAATATTACTTAGCATAGTCGAGATCCCGCTGTAGCATCAACAGATAATCCTATAGAGAAACAGATATTCTCTCTTTGAATAAACAGTTCGCTAAATCGATATAGTATAATCGTAAAGCGAAGGATGACCGAAAGCATCCACCTTTTAAGTTTCATTATTGCTCCTCCTTCTGTGAAGCTTTTGTTCTTCTAGCCGAGCTCCAGACGATCTGTTCGGCATATTGGAAAAGAGTATACGCGCTCGAGGGCGATAAGTATGACCTCGAGAGGCAAATTAGGTTGAAAGAATTCGAGGTAAATACGATCGTGTCGTCTGAAGATAGCCTAACGTGTCTCCTGCATACAGATCACTCTTATCCGACCTCCTCATTCATTTTCGATTTTACTTATCTTTGCGGTATCTCTAGATACTCCAGATACCTTCGAAATTTCATCTAACAT